CATAGGAGTAAACTTGTTAAGGTTGGAATTTCTCGCATGAAATTTTGATTTTCAAAAAATTTTAAGTTTTCAATATTGCTTGATTATCGCAGTCCAACTTGAAAATATATTTGGTCACATTAATTTTTAGGATGACATACAGCGTCTGCTCAAGTCTGTGGCTGGACTCCACATTCCCAGCACTCATGCCGCTTCGCAGTCCATCACTTCGCAACATTTCGAACCCAATGAGGTATTTTTACTTATAGTGGAGAAACTATTTTCTCAATGGCTCAATTTTCAAAATTTTTCTCAAGGTTCTTCCTGCTGTATCTAACCAAGGTGATGTACCACCTTTACCCGTGAATGGGTTCGACGCCACGCCGCATTCTCCACCCTCACCTGTACCTTCGGAGAAACCGGAATTACCGGCTACAATTCAACCATCGCTTCAGGAACAGGTAGCTTTTGCAAGTTTTTGGATTTTTTTTCTATTTTGCCTGCCTACTCTTACCTCAAATAGGTGCTACCGGATGGTCTTGCTCGACATGACGTCGCACCTTGTGTAGAAGAAATTCCGCTAGAAGCTGGAGCACCAACAGCTTTTGCCCCACCACCGAGTGAATTCGCTCCACCACCTATGATGCCACCAGCGGTCCAAGACCCTCATGGTCCTCCACCAACCCAGCAACAACAACAACAAGGGCAGCAGCAGCAGGCATTTGCACCTCCGCCACCATCCATTCCTTCAATTCCTTCATTCCCTCAAGCAAATATGCCTCCACAAGGACATTTTTCGCCATCGCATCCCCCACATGAACAAACTCCCCCTCAACCACCCCAGCAGTTCGTTCCACCCCAGCAACATGGTGCTCCACCGCAAATGCCACCTTCACAATTTGCTCCACCTCCTCAGCAGGTAATCGCTAGGGTAAAACATTTTTAGAATCATCAAATTTTTTATTTCAGCAAAGCTTTGCTCCTCCACCGCAACAGCAGCAATTCGCTCCACCACCACAGCAATTTGCGCCACCACCCCAGGCACCACCGCAGCCACAGCCACCAACTCCTCAATCATCTGTGTCATC